ATTATTGCTCCTATTTGACACAACGCAATTTGCATACTTCCACGACAGAATTCCTTTACTTATTACTGATTCATGATAAGAAGAAAGATATTTTCGTATTAAGTACTTTTCTTCTACAAAAACTTTAGTTATCTTTTTAAGTTGTTACTGTTTCGTTAAAATATCAAAAATACCAAAAATATTTAAATTACTGCAAAAATCATTTTTAGTTTAAGTAATTCTTTTTTTTTAAATAGAAAAATTTTCTAAAAAGTGCATATTGCATAATCTTTTCTGTGGGTTCGATATTCAGATCTTAATCAAAAAGTCCTATATTACTTGATAACGATACATATACTTACGTAGTATCAAAAAGTCCTATATTACTTGATAACGATACATACACTTACGTAGTATCCCAATATAAATATATATAAATTAAAAAGTTAAATTTTTATTTTTCTTCAGGATCAAGTTTTTGATTTTGTTGCAAAATAAGAAAATATAAGCAAAAAATACCATCAGAACTATTGTTATATGTGCATAAGCATTAAGATCGTGGATCATAACTCCGACATTTTTTAACTTGAAGGGTCCTACATTTTAATAATATACACATTTAATACTAATAAATGTGACCTTTCACGAAAGTAATAAATGTGGCTTTTTTATGTATCAAACGAGTACATCGTTATGTGACCTTTCACGACAGTAATAAATGTGGCTTTTTTATGTATCAAACGAGTACATCGTTATTTGGTGGTAGCTAGAAACTATGTTAAGGAAGCTCATTACTAAGTGAGCGACCATTAAATCCACAAGTACATTGATCTGAGGTAGGGTTAGTTGTCTTTTGGGCAGATGATGTTCAATTGGTGAAGTCTACAAATGTCCTCCACTTTCCATTTGACTTCTATACCATCGACATATTAGACACCCAAGTTGGATACTTGACTTCTGATAGGTAGTCAGCCTCCAAAAACTAAACCTCATCTCAAATTGCCTCGACTAGGTTGACAGCAAAGGACCTCGTATTCTTCTTCATTAACAAGCTGTTAGATTAACATTCAAGAAATGCAAGTGATGTCAAATGGAGTCCCTAACATCTCAACAGTGAACAAAGGTGTCTTTATGGTCCTAAATGGTTTTGATCAGTGTATCCTTTAACCCTACATAAAAAACTTCACTTATTAGTAAAAATTTATTGGGTTTGATTTTAGTCATCAGAACTTCATGAATGGTATCACTGGTCTTAAGAACCCTTTCAAATAGATTTCTGAGCTTGAGCAGCCCTTGGTCAATGCTTCTAGCTGCTCAGAGATAGCAGGTTCGAGATTGCTCAAGATTGCCTTGGACGGTGATCACTTTTCCATCATCTAAAAATTTTACCACCAAATAATATCTCAAGAAAATAGTTTTGGATGAATTAATCAGAGGGAATCTGAGAATGGAGTTATATGAGTCAACTACCAAGAAATATTCCATGTTTGTAAATTATTTATCATTTCCCCCCATAGTAACTAGTGGGGCGATAGTCCCTAAGGTTACTTTATCTTACAAGAAAATACATAAAGTGGGCATGCTGCTACAATCAACCAATCATTCCCAAGACCCATCTTATCAAACACCTTCTACAAAATGTTCTTCGAGCTTTCAGTGTCAATAAGATTGCTATTAATCTAGTTGTTATTAATTAGTGTCGTTATGATGATGGGGTCGTTGTAAGGATTCCACTTAGAGCTAAATCTTTGTCGGAGAAGGTGATGAGGGAATGTAAGGTGCTTCGAGTACTGACAACCATGCATAGTTTTTTCGAAGCCTCTTTAGACTTGCTCACAGGTCAAGTCTTCTACTCCTCTTAAAATATTAAGAACTATACTTTGCATGGGTTTGAACAAGCTTATCAAAAATCTTCTCCACTTGAGCTTTCCCTTGCCTTTGAGTCATCACCCCTAGAGTCCCAAACTCCTTTAGTTTTACAAACTTGATCAACTCCTCAACCAGTCTTTTGGGGTATCAAAATTCCTCTGCATCATGACCATGCTATATGTGATAGACGTAGTATTTCTTTGGGTTTCTAAGGTAAGCTTTGGTCTTCATTGAGGGCACTCTCTTAAAATACTTTTTATTTTGGATGACCTCCACTATTTTGGCCATCTAGACTCTTAAGGGAGGCATTTTCAGCAATTCATGATTGGACAACAGACGCTTGTTATAGTCAGTCAATCGATAGTTAGGATATTGGGCTTGACTTCTTCAGTTGAAAGTTCTATCAGTTGCTCTATGGTTCTATGACGATTAATCATCTTTATATCATGGATGGGCGGAAGGGCGTGATTCATCTATTGATCTTCAACCCTCTTCTACGAGTAATAAATGGAAGAATCTCCTCTAAAGGAAATGGGGATGGAGTTGTACTCCTATGTCAATATATGATTGTTGCCCATGTTTAATAACTTGGCCAATATCTTTGATTGTTGTAGACTTAAAGCCTATCAAAAAAGGTCCCATTTTTCAGTCATTAAGCTATGGAGGCATGAGCCTCTACGGGCTCCAAATTCCACGGTTCCAAAATCTCCTTCAACGAGCAGGTAATGAATGAGTGAAGGCTTTTGTTTTATCCTTGTCTGATGTGTACTAGGGCCTGTGAATTCCTCAACAACTTCTGAGCACTAACAAACAATGCTATGAACATTTGCTTGAAGTTGGTGAATGAAATGATTACTCTGGACAACAATGCTTCGAACCACCTATAGGCCAAATCTCTTAGCGTGGTGAAGAAAAGATGACACTTCAGTGCGTCGGTGATCCTTAGTAGATACACAATTGACTCGAAAGAGGCTATGTAGTCGATTGGATATGTTCTTCCCTTATAGGACTCCTGTGCTAAGATCTTAAACCTCTCTGAGGGCTTGAACTCAAAGATTTGCTAAGACAATGCATTCTCTAACTGTCGGGGTGCCTTAGTACTCCAAAATCAATGTCTATTGATTGGTGCTAACCCAACATTATCAAAGTGCTGGGAGTCTCCTTCTCTATCCAAGGCTAAAGAGGCTCTATGGCCATTGGGTGCCAACTCTTCCTCTCGAGGATGTTGTTCCCTTCCTTGAGCTAGTAGCCTAGTGCCTCTCAGAATGTTTCCAACATATAATCCTTCAACTCCTGAATCTGTTGGTTCATGAACTCTATTGTGCACTTCATATTACTAGTTACTCTACTATGGGGTTTTCTGTATGTGATTCTCCTCTTTTTGTCCATGACAGGATCCACTCTCACCACATCTTTTTGTATGTTGAACCCTGATTTATCTGTGAGTCACGCACAAGGAATAAAACATAAGAAATGAGAGAGAGGAGTGAATAGCAGTGAACAACGAAATGTCTTATCAATTAGACATTTCTCATGAAATGATCTCCTTATTTATATGGATATGGTATATTATAGTGATAGTACATTTTTGTCACCACTTTAATGTGGGTTGCCTCTGATGCTCTAGGTATTTACATATATGACTGAGTCGACTAAGCTTGTTTGGCTTCACTCAGTAAGGCTGGTATGGTCTGCTAAGATGAGTTAGTGCAACTAGTCAACCACACTTGATTTTCTTTGAGTCGGTAGGATTGACTTGGTTAGCTAAGTTTTACCGATCGATTGATATGGTTGGCTGTTAACCCTCGATACCTGGATGAGGAGCTTCTGTCCTCAGGATGCTAGACTATTAAGCAGAGGGTGAATCACCGTAACCCGATATGTAGTTCATTCCTCGACGAGGAAATCCTTTAGGATAATCATAAAGCTCTATTGTATTGCCAATTCTTAACCCCTGATGAGGAGTCTCGGGGCATCAATGAGACAGTTGGTGATACTGAAATACTTAATTCTTTTCTCCGGTCAGATCTACCAGAAGGTAGGTCAATGCCTACGCTTTACTTTCTTATAATGATTAGCTCAGATGCTTATCTAATTTAATTTAGTTCGATTGGTTTGACTCCAGTCATTCAATCATCATTCTTGTTCTTCTTTTCGCTCGGTCGACCTTCGACCTTGGCTCAAATGACTACATCCAATCAGATAAGTGGGGCCACTTTTGGTCTTCTCTCGATGGGCGCTGCATTTAGGGCTGTCAATTTGACTCGTTATTCGCGAACAACTCGTGTTCGGCTCCTTACGTTAAGCTTAACGAGCAGAACACGAACAAATTTTTAAGCTCGAAATATAAACGAGCCGAAGACGAACAAACATTTGTTCGCTCGTATTCGGTTCGAATTGGCTCGAAAAGGAAGAAAGAAATAAATATATACACACACATATAATACATATTCATAAAATAAATATTATAAATTGTAATTAATTAAAACTTTTTAAAATTAAAAAATTATCAAATTTTTAAAAATTAAATCCTATAAATTATAATATATAACAAATTATTAATAAATATTACTTATATAAATATTATATATTTATATAATATAAGTTATTTAATTAATATAATATAATATATAAGTTTAATGAAATCGAGAAAGACGTTCAACCTACTCTTCTGCTTACTCTCAAAATCGCGAAAGGCCGCCGACTCTTCTGCTTCCTCTCAAAATCTCAAAAGGCGTTTGCCCCTGAGAGCTTAGGGTTTGTCGTTTGTGTTTGCTGTTCTCTTTCTCTTCCTCTTCCTCTTCCTCTTCCTCGTTTATTCAAATATTGTTCGTGTTCAAATATTAGATACATTAAAGCCAAAAATTTTGAGGTGCATGTATGTAAATGACTCACCCTCAACATACCATGTTAAAAGGTTTACATAAATAGCACTCGCTTCTATGTATTTACACATTTAACATCTAAATATTAGTTTTTCCACATATATGCATCTTAGCGATGCATAAGAAGGTTGGTTCATTTTTTAAAATAAAAGTAGTGATACTTTTGATGCATATGATAGAAATTTGATGGTATATTTGTAATACATTGAAATTTTGTGGTATATATATAAATGCCCCTTTTTAATTCGTCAATCGCAGAACATTACGCACAACTCATGCCCTAATTTTGCCACATCTTTCAATCTTATTGGGATTCCTCGTCCCTCGAACTTCGGCCTTCGGCAATCTCCGAGTAGAGCATTTCTACTCTCTTGCCCTCCTCATTTCAACATTGGCCGGTCTTTGGAGCTACTAATTGCTGTCAACCGTCGACTACACTCTCGACCCACTCTCCCAACGACCGACTGCCGGTCGCTCGATCTAGGGTTATCTTTCTTCAGTGATCGCCAGGGTGCCACTGTCGACTGCTCTAATTACATTCGGTAAAATTATTTCCATATCCCAGTTTTTAATTTGCATTTTCTCATTGATTTGTAAGCAGTGGTTAGGGTTCCATGCATGAGGATAATCACGATTTGGTGTCTTCTTTAGCTCTAATTACATTCGGTAAAATAATTTCCATATCCCAGTTTTTAATTTGCTTTTTCTCATTGATTTGTAAGCAGTGGTTAGGGTTCCATGCTTGTGGATAATCACGATTTGGTGTCTTCTTTAGCTTTTTTTGATGTGATAGATATGAAAACTCTGGGTTATATAAATGCAAAAAGTTTAGTTATTTGATATGTATATACATGAATTAAGTGGTATGCAACTAAATGCCTAATCTTGTCTGTATGCAATTATATAAGCAAGCGCATAATTACCGGGCTGTGTGGTATGGAAATTAAATGATATTTCTCATTGTGTCATGGGAATGAATTTACATACAACCGCTCAATTCCAACATTTTATTCCATATAACATTCAAAATTTCAATTTTTACATACATGTCGCATCACTTGTACATGAAAAGGTATTTCTCACTTTTGGTAAGCTAAAATGGAACTAATTTTGATATGATATCGAAGATTTAAGTGGTATAACTGTAAAAAAAATCAATTTTAGGTGTTAGGTATCTAAACTTATAATAATCAGATGGTATTTATGTAAATGCTCTAAAAAACCACATATGTTATTTTTAGGAATTGGGCGGTGTATGTGTAAATGTATGAGCATTGGTGGTTTCTCAATATGTATTTGGATGATTTGCACACATACAAGTACCCTTACATTCATATAACCGCTTCTATTCCTCATGACTATGTGGTTTTTGACATTTTCTATATTTTTAATTATATGTTGCTATATTTGGGTATGGTAACGACACTGTGCATGTTATATGTAATGTGTATTTTGATGGTGTTGGTTTTTGCAATTTTATGTAGAGCAATACAACAACAACAACAAAGCCTTAATCCCTTAATCCCACTATTAATCCCACTACGTGGGGTCGGCTCCATGAATCATTTTTCTCCATTATATCCTATTTAGTGTAAAGCAATTTTATGTAGAGAGATGATGTAAAAAAAGAGAAAGAGCTCATCCGATTATCAATTGTGATTCCTATAATTGTTCTCACCTATTGGTAATCATTGGATGTACCATAAATACTGCTTGGTCTTAAAGCTCGCATGACAAAGTCAATTACAGAAACTACCTGGTTTTAAAGCCCATAGAACACAGTTAACCACAAATACTACATGGTCATAAAGCCCACATGACACGGTCAACCACTAATACGAACTGACCTTAACGCCCATACGACACTCAACCACAAATATTTCCTGGTCTTACATCACACCCAACACACTTAACCATATGTACCACCTGATCTTAAAGCCCGCACAACACACTCAATCACATATACTATTAAAGCCTCCACGACACAATCAATCACTATTACTATCTAGTTTTCCAACACTCGCCACTCATCAACAAGTATTACTTGGTCTTATAGCCCTCCCAACACACTCAACCGTATATAATACCTGGCCTTTCACCATAATATATGATTATCAATTGCACTTGGTGATCCTCGATGGGGCAATCTTTGATGAATTAATCTCACTGACCACTGTTTCGATTCTGTCTTTTTTATAGTTTGTTTCAATTTTTTAATTACTCTTTTAGTTGTAAGTTTAGTTTTATATTTTCCTCCAGATTTTTTATATTCTTGATACACTAGATGAGAAATTAAAAAGATTGTATATCAGCCACTTGAGAGAAGGATATCAAAATTATATTCTGTAATTTATGCTTTAAAGAGCTTGAAATAGGCAATAAACCAACCATGCTTTTCAATAAAGAATATTGAAAAAAATATTATAAAAAATTTCTCTGAGAAAACATATTCTACGTATAAGTTAACTAAAAATAAACAGGATCACCTAAAAAAGACTAAAAATTGTGGAATGAGTTAAAAAGAGGAGCAATAGGATTGGGCTGAGATTTTGTTAAGAAAATGATAGATGCATTAGATGAGTGGTGGAGGGAAAAACTTTAAATAAAAATGTTATCTAAATTCTTTATATTCTTATATCAATTGAACTATAATTTTATCATTTATAGGTCATGCCTAATGCTGTTATCTAAATTCTTTATATTCTTATATCAATTGACCTATAATTTTATCATAAATACCCAAAGCGTTAAAAAAAAAAAAAAAAAAAACATTTTTAACATAAATCTTGATTTGGAGGAGAAATCAGTTTTTTTATTTTTCGGTGTTGTGACTACAGGATCTAATGTCTAAGCTAAAACACATGATTTTCTTCAGAATTTGGATGAACGTGATTGTGGTCATTCAAATTAAGTCCATGAAGAAGGACCACAGGAGGCAGAACAAGGTAAATCAAGTCATTTTAAGCGCTTTGCCCCCTCCACCAAGAAGCCTAAATGAAAATGTTGGCGCCCAATATTTAATTGAGCCGATTTCACAGCTTGTTACAACCTGCAGTGACGTCCAGTGCTCGAACGACTATTCAGGGATACCCGACTATGTTAGAAGTCTTGAAGTTACTGGACTCTACTGTCGAGATAATTTGATTATTATCCTCTATATCTACTCGATGTAAAATTTTTAGATGATCGAACAAAGTAAGAGGCTTTCATTACGATAGTATCAAAACGGTGAATTTCTTGTCACTTAAAAATTCAAAAAGAAAACTTAGAAAGCGTTGGATCATGGGGTAGCACTTTGGGGGCAAGTAAACGGGAATTCTTGTCACCTGATGAACAAGTGGACTTTGAATAAGCAAAACATGGATATGATAGGAGTAGTAGTGGAGTTATAAAAAATAGTAAGCTTGTCATTAGTAAGCTTCATTTCACTCTTGAATTTTAAGAAGAAATTAAAATCTAAGATAAGTTTAATATCAGAATGATGAACAGGATTAATAGGACGTAAGATTTTGACGATTTGTTTTAATGTGTTTGAAGTTAAATTTGTGTATTTTTAATACACTGGGTTAGTTCGACAATAGAGCCATCAAATTGAGATGTTCTTTTAGGTTTGATGCTCTTAGTGATTTATTTAGTGGCAATTAATGTAGAATGAATATAATTTGATGTAGTTTCAATATCTATGAATGCTGGAAGAAAAATTTCATAACCATGGATATTTAGTCTTAGAAGTGTTTGGATTTAAAGTAATTTTTCGGGATTATAGATAATAAGTAGTTTTTCAATGCCAAGGTTTGAAATCTGCATCCTCACCAGTGTTAGCTAATTTTATGGTTTCAAAACCAATATTTATCATACTTTGATCTCTTATTGTCTCATTTCCTTTTCTAAGGTCAGGTTTTCAAATATTTTCTATTTTTTCTTCAATCAAATTTATTCTTTGTTCTAAAATTTTACTCTTTGTTCTATATGAGAGGATGAGGTTTTTGTTTTTCAATTAAAGCTTTTGGATGTGGAATTTCATATTTTTCATGGACACATTTATAACATGCTTTTGCATAAAATTCATTACATTTATATCTCCTATCAATTGTTGGTACCACTGACAATTTTTACATTTTATTTTATCCTCTCTGAGTCCTATTTGACACTCATGTAAACAGTTAACATTCATATATATGAATTTTTTATTATCCAAATTGTCCATTGATTCTTGTATTTTAGGATCGTCAAGAATATCATTTATAAACTGGTAATATGTTTCTTTATCTTCAGGGGGTTCCATTGAGACATGAAATATCAAATATTTGGGAATAATGTTTCTTTATCTTCAGGGGGTTCCATTGAGACATTATTATAGGTAGATGAAATATCAAATATTTGGGAATCTAGATCTATAAAATCTGCATTTTCATAGTCTATCAATATAACATTTTTGCTATATAGATTTTTTTCTTTTAGGACATGCATGCGGTAACTAAATGCTCTTCTTTGTTACAAGCATAGCATGAGAGTTTATGAGAATAGGTTTTCTTATGATTATAATTTCAAACATGTTTTTCTTTCAGTTTTTCAAACAAGAACTGTATTCTAACTCCAATATTATCAAATTGGGGTGCTATATTTTGAGAAGTTCATGCTTGATGAATTTATTTTTCCAATTTACCAGGTAATTTTGAAAATAACATATTTCCTGATTTATTTTAATAGTAATTTCCATATATTGCTAAAGCTACGAAGTCATTTGCAAAATTCTTGACATACTTCCAATTTCTTAATTTCTGTGTTCATGATCTCTCATAACACTAACTTTCCTTCTTACTAACCCAGAATTTGTATCTTTCGCTGTTAAAATTCTGTGAATTTGGCATGCAAAATGTAGGACATTATTTCTTTGTTTTGCAAAACTTGTTACATCATCTGAAAATTTTCTTTTACAAGCTGCCCATGTAAATCTAGCTACATCACTTAAATAGTTTATTTTGTCCTTTTTTATTATCTCTTCCCCATTTCTACATTATCTTGATGTTTCTGTTGATAATCTCTAACCATTTGTGGCATCCACAGTTTTAAATAATTATCACACATTTGAGCATTACAGGTCGTGATATTCAACAAGACTTTATTTTTTAGAAAAATAAGATTTTTTATTTGGCCCTCTTTTACTCGGAGTCCTTAGCAACTGATTTTCTTTATCATAAATATTAATAGATCTTCTACAGGGATGTCCTATATTGTTTTCCATAGGAATGGGGTTATTATTTGGATAATATTGTTGGATAATCTGAGCATTTGGGCTGTATGAGGAGCTAACTTCATCTTAGCTTACAAAATTCTTTTCTATACTTGAAGTGGAATCTCTTAAAATTCTATCCATTAAAACCTCATTTTGTTGTTCTTGAATTAAACATATATTTCGTTTATCATCAGCTTATGAGCAATCACTTTCTTTTAATTGACCTATATTTTTATAATGACATTCTAATTCATATGTAGATTTCCAATTAATAGGTAAATTTAATATAGAAGGAAACATAATGGG